ATATATATATATAGCGAAACCTTTGTAAATAATAAGATATAATATATAATATTTGAACTGTTAATTTATAGAAACTATTCTATCAATATAAAACATCATTGCGCGTGTGCAGCAATCTATTTATTATTCTATTAATAAAGAATGACAAATTGTTTGTGTTACATGCGCAGCGGAGACTCAGCTAGGAAAGCAGGGCATCTTGGAATTCCGTACTCTCCACGTAGGCGGATATCTTCACGCAGGCGAGGACATACCGCATTTCGTGGGACAATTGCAGCAGATCTGGTTCAATGGATATCCGTACTTGGAGATTGCGCGCAGTGCTGGAAGTCATCAAGCGTCGCATCAGGGTGTCACACCCATCATCAGGGTCACTGGCAAATTTGGGAAGAGGAATCATCCGGTTCATCATCCGGTGACCTTTACCTCCAAGCATACCTTCGTAGGACTTCCAGTGCTCAAAGCATACGTGGAAACAAATATCTATTTCCAGGTAAAAATTTGCATATATTTTTATAATCTAGCATTGAATTATATTGACACGCTATTTGATTCTTTGGACTCACACAACAAATACAAATATCTTGGAATCGTAAGAATCTCTCTCATCATAGTTGTATTAATTAATTTTGAAATCATTTTTTCATCGCATCTATTACATTTTTTTCTTGTTTTTAATAATATTTTACGACAAAATATATCGGAATGGAAGGTAAAATATAAGATAATTTGGTATAATATAATATTAAGTTTTTTTTATGAAAGGAAAATTTGTACTTTACAAATATATTGCAACATTCGCGTAAAAAAATAAGATAATAGGAAGTTAAGCATTATTAAACCATTTACGCTTTTTTTTACCAAATAAAATAAATGTTCTATCATTAACTGTAAATAGAACATGATCTAATCTAATTGAAGAATCTATATTGTCTCAAAATATATGTTAAATAATAATATATAACATACAAATTATTTTCCAGTTCAAAACACGCGAAGCGAACGGCTTGATCCTTTATAACGCTGGCAGAGAACATGACTTCATTGCAGTTGAGTTGGTTACTGGACACGTTCATTACGTGTTTGACCTAGGCGATGGACCCGTCAGGGTCAGGGACACTTCGAAATCAAAGTTAAATGACGGCAAATGGCATGCCGTGAGCATCGGTAGACCTGCATCAAAGAGGCATACTCTTGCTGTAGACGATCATGTGACCGCTGTCAACAGCCAGGGCAGCAACGAAAATCTCGATCTCGATGGCATCTTGTATATAGGTAAGTAAACATTTATAAAGACATCACTTCAACGAAGTGCATTAAACTCTCTATCTCTTTTATCGTTATTAAAAATAATATTTCTGAATTATGTGCTAATTACGTCATGTATTGTAATAATTGTTACAAAACAAATTTAAAATAAATAAAAATGCTGAAATTTGTTGCCAAAGCGCATTTGATAATAATTATTACAAAATATAATTGTTAACAATTTAAAATTGCTGATACATAAGAAAAT